CCCGCCCGCCCCGCCGCGGTGCCGCTCGGAGGATGCTCTGCGAGTCAGGGCGGCTGCTCCCGCCGCCGCATCCCTGCAACACCGACTGACGGCAGCATCAGCACCAGGGCCCGCCTCCTACGCGCGCGCATTGGGCCAGGCAGCGCTAATGGACGAGCGGCGCAGCCAATAGGAAGGCGCAGAAGCCGCCAGTCCGGCGGCTCCACAGGCCCACCTCCCTCCTTCGCGAAGGACCCAGGCGTGCGGGCCCCAGGGCTTCGGAGCTCTTTCCAGCCTCTCCTGGTCTTTGGCTCTGGAGCCCGGGCCCCCAAACAGGCAGACCCTCAACCCAGCCCCAGTGCCTTTTCTGGAAACCCAGGCGCCCTAGCCTCTCGCCCCTTGGGTTGGGTCCTCGGGTCCCGCATTCCCAGGCCGGAGGGCCCCTGTGGCAGTGCCCAGAGCTGGGCCGAGCCGAAGGGGAGGCTGTGGGCCCCGACTTGGGGCACCAAGCGAGCGGGACCGGTGTGGGACCCGGGCCGAAGCGCCCTCTGCTGGCTACGCCCAGTCTCGGGCCCGGACTAGCGACGAGCCTAGGGAAGGGGGACCCTGTCCGCGGCTGCGGGGGCTTTTTCCAGCCCGAAGCCTGGCCTCTGCCTCCCACCGCCCGAGGGCCCCGTGGCTGCCCCTAGAACTGAGGAGGCAGTGGGGGAGGGAAGGCAGAGAGGGGGCAGGGTGGACCTAGGGGCTTGGGGTTTCCCAGCCCTGCCTCATGGGAATCCCAGAGTTTGAAGCCGATTCCCAGCCCTGCCTGGAACCCTGGACTGGGGTAAGAGTAGGTTTGAGGGCAGGGGCGTGACTGCACATTACCCTGAAGGAAAACTGACAGCAGCCCCCTTTTCTGTATCAACCATGAGTTTCGGTGTGAGTGTGGTGCTGGGAGGAAGCTCTGTCCTGTAAGGGCGTCTGCATCACTGCATGCGTGTGCGTGTGTGTTAGTATGGGAGGAATGGGACACACCTTCACTCACTCAGCCAATGAAAGGTAGACCTGGCACCTAGTGTGTGTACCACAAAGTTGGACAATGGGCTTCTGAATGAAGCAGTGTGTGTCTGTGTGTGTGTGTGTGTGCACGCACGGGCCAGACCATTCTGCCAGCTCACTCCAGGATCCTGATTTCTGTAGCAGGGTCTGTGATCTGCACAGCTGGTGGTAGTTGGCGCTTCCTTAGCCAGAGGAACATGCAAACACACTCACATTCAACCACTAATGCATGCGTGGGCACGCAGAGCACACTCACAGCCATGCACACCTGTCCATGTGCACACAGCCACTCCCAAAGCAGCACACAGGGACAGCTGCAGAAATGCCCCACATGGTAAGACAGCCACAGGAAGCTCATGTTCTCTGAAGAACACACACAAACTTGTGCATACAGGTGCCTACACATTCAGAGGCAAATACATGCCCAGGAAACAGGTACACACAGAGGACCTGCCCACGGGTGCTGCCCCCCTGAGGTACTTGGCACAGAGTGGTCAATTACTGAGTAGATGGGTAGGGACAGCCACCTACCAGAGGTCTCCCTCCACAGCCTGTGATGGGGTCACAGGGGGACCCAGGCTGCAGGGGGTGTTTCCTAGGGGTCAGGAAGAGAGATCCCTGAGCCAGGTCCCAGACCTGGGGCCCACTCTTACCTTCAAGAGACCCCCAGGCTGGCCCCACCAAGGTCTTTAGAGGAGCCAGAGAATGGGGACTGCTGAGTCAGGGCCTGTGGATGTGAAATTGCCTCTCTGACCCCACAGCCCACTGCCCCACCCAACCCCCCACGGCTCCTCTCCCTGCAGCCTACACACACACACACACACACACACAGAGACAGACTTACCCAGCCATTCACTGGGGCATAAATGGACAGACAGACAGGTGTAGTGACTCACAGACTGTCTCTCAGACTCTTATAGATGGGTGTGGGAAGGGGTGGCAGGACAGGGGCAGGAAAGAATGTAAGAGAAAGCATTTGTCTCCTGTCCCCACCCCCAGCTCCCTGGGCCACCTTTGCCCATCAAGGGCAGGAAAGGTCACCTGACAGCTGCTGCACCTCCCTGCCCTTCCCCCCAGCTACAAGGATGTCTCCCCCCAAGGCCCAAGGTTCAGACTACCTAATGCAGTTGGGACCCACCACCTCAAGACACCCTCCCCAACAGGGCCCCACCCAATGTGACCGTTCTCCAGTGCGAAGTCCAGTGGGGACACAAGGTGAAGGGGAAATGCAGCAAATGCAGTGAGTGTGTGTGCACACACATGCACATGCACAACGTGAAGCTCCTACATCAGATTCACACATGCAACCCCACGTCACTTTCCTGGGCGGGTGGCCCTGGGCACATTTATGCACACACACACACACACACACACACTGGGAAGAGGCCGGGCTGGGCTGGGGTGGTGGGGAGGGGAGCCGACCAGGCTGCAGGGGTGGAGGCAGCAGGGGAGGCGGGCAGCGCAGGGAGCGAGCTGCTCTTCACAACACAATCACCGTCTGTTGTTATAGCAACTCAGCCCCCAAATCGTGAAACGGATATTACAGCCTCAGAGGGGGAAGGGCGGGAGGGGGCTGAGAAGGAAAGGAGGGGCAGAGCAGGGGGCCCAGTGGAAGACAAAGCTGGGGGGCCAACATGGGGCTGAAAAGTCACAGGGTGGGAGAAGGAGACCCAAATGAGGAGTAGGCCAGGGGAGGGGGGTCTCAAAGGGGAAGATGGCCATGGGGTCAGGGAACCCTGGGAGAGGGGGCTGAGGCCGCTGGCAGGTCCACGGATGAGCTTGGCAGGTAGGAGTGGGTTGCTCAGGCCTCCACCCCCAGGACTGCCCATAGCTGCTGTAGGACACACCCCAACTTGGGGGTTTGGGGAAGTAGCTCCTACTCCCAGGGCTTCTGTCTGGACTTTCCTGACTCCAGCAGTAGCCTGGCCCAGTTTCAAAACCTTTAGAAGACCTCCTAATCTAGACCAGCCTCAGAAGTGGTCTTAGCCTTCTTCAGGTAGCAGTGACCCCCAAAACCTCCATGCTGCAAACTCAGGAGAGAGGAGCTGGGCTGGGAGAGGCCGCAGGAGGCTGAGAGCAGGATCAATATGCATTTCCTCTGGAAGTCACTGTCCTTCCGGCTGGCAGCAGCACCAGGCCAGGCCGGGAGGCTGTGAGCCCAAGGAGAGCCGTCCCCACCCCCAGGCAGGAAGGCTGCCCAGGCCCCTCCGCCCCTCCCCCCCACAGCTGGCACTCAGGGCTGCCCTCTCCCTTCCACGATTCTCTGCAGTGAGCTCCCCACTGCTGGAAGTATTCAAGCAGGAGCTGAGAGGCCACCTGTGAAGCAAGGGAACTTCGACTATGGGCTGAAGGCTATGGTTACACAAGACCACTGGACCGAACAATTCTGGGTGCAAAGACATGCTAGTTTCAAGTTTTAGACCCCCAAGATTCTGGACTCCTTGATAATTCAGACCCTCTCCAAGATGCTTAAGTTCCAGGGTTTTCTGGTCCTAAGGTTTTATCCCCCAGGATTCTAGTTCCCCCAAGATTCCAGACACATGAGATCTCTTGGATCTCTCAAGATTCTCTGACCACAGAGGTCTAGACTCTAACATTCTAATCCCTGTGATTACAGCCCCTGCCCCGCTTCAGGAGTCTAGGCTCTAATGATCTAGGTTCGTGACACAGGCCTTTTTATTCCTGGAAAATACAAATATTCACAAGAGTCTGTACAACCTTAGGGACACCAGCCCTGGCCCTGCCCTCAAC